GGAAAATCCATAACTGTGAAGCGTTATCAGAACAGAAATGGAGGCTTGCATCTCTCTCACCTTCTGAGTATCCAACGGCCAGGACCAGGGAATGGAAGTGAGGAAAATCCATAACTGTGAAGTGTTATCAGAACAGAAATGGAGGCTTGCATCTCTCACCTTCCTGAGTATCCAAACGGCCAGACCAGTATCCAACGGCCAGAAATGGAGGCTTGCACCAGGGAATGGACCAGTGAGGAAAAATCCATAACTGTGAAGTGTTATCAGAACAGAAATGGAGGCTTGCATCTCTCTCACCTTCTGAGTATCCAACGGCCAGGACCAGGGAATGGAAGTGAGGAAAATCCATAACTGTGAAGTGTTATCAGAACAGAAATAGAGGCTTGCATCTCTCTCACCTTCTGAGTATCCAACGGCCAGGACCAGGGAATGGAAGTGAGGAAAATCCATAACTGTGAAGTGTTATCAGAACAAAAATAGAGGCAGAATCTTAAAATTGGGATGCTTGTTCCAGTGACAGCTGTGAAGGGAGAAATTTCCTGTTGGGTCTACAGTAAAAAGGAAGTGAGAGCTTGTTGCTTCCAATTGTGGCATTGGACACACTTTTTAAAGCACTCTGAATGCCAATGAAAGCAGCTGTCACTAGATAGAATGGTGAGCTTACAGTCCTGTTCACATATTGAGGTTTATTTACTAAAACTGGAGAGTGCAAAATCAGGCTCGTATCTGCATAGAACCCAATCAACTTCTAACCTCAGCTTTTTCAATTAGGCTTTGGCAATAAATCCTGGAAGCTAGAACATATCAGTGAGCGCTTAGTCCTTTTTTTGTTTTGTGAGCTGGTTTCTTCAGGATCCCTGCCTTTTTCCACCTTGAGGATTGATTGCTGTGCTGAGGTTACCCCTCCAATCTGGTACATCTTAGCATCCATGGTTCTGTGTTTGATGGGAACATAGCCTGACCTGCTGGTGGAGGAATGTGCCATTTTGCTGTACCTGCGCATTTTATATGCGCTTCTGATGAGTACATATAAAGCAGTCATTTTCATGGATTCACTTACCACTGGAAGTCACTAATTTCTTATGGATTCATCCATTATTGGACTTTATTATATATTGCTTTTTGTGTACTCATCCCACTACAGTCACCTATTTTTTATCACTATTGCACTGGTTTTTCAGTGCCACACCGTATTCAATATATTTATTGCATTATAGCGCCTCAGTGCGACTGTTGTGTATATATTTATACATGTCACCATAGCGCTGACCAGAGCACCTCACTGTGATTATTTAGGGTATTGTCGCATAGTCACTTTTTCTGTCACCTAGATATATCTTCATTGTATGCAGTTACATATAAGTTTGGAAGTTTAGCATATTGTAAGTGCTGCACCATTTCTACATTTAAAACCTGGAAGCTGATTGGTTTCTTTGCAGAAGTGAGTCTGATTTTGCACTCTCCAGCTTTAGTAAATAAACCCCATTGTGTTTGCTTTGCTTCAAAAATTATACCCCAAGTTGCTTTCTTGGTGCTTCAGAGTGTCTCCGAAGCCTCCATAGAAATTTATAACAAAGCTCGCTAACAGCACCTGCAGCTATTGAGGGCTTTTCTTCAGAGTTAGCTTTGCTTTGTTTTGGAGGTCTTCCATGTATGAGATATCCCAGGGTGCACTGGGAAACCAACAAGTGAACCAGAAAGACGTCATCACAAGTCACTTCCGGTTCATGTGTATATATTCTGGAAGTGACAGGTGCAGATATCACATCTGGTGTGCAGCAGGAAGGTGAGCAAGGTCTCTACTGGAGCGGAGAAACTAGCAGTGGGCACATACAGTGTTCAACATGGGAACACTATAGCTGAAAGTGAGCAGGGACTGGAGAGAGAGGACTGAGTGGTGGGGAATCAGCACAGTTGGCAGACCAGAGCAGGAGAAACTAGCAATGTCACATATGTGCAATGAGGGAGCAATATAACTGGAGGTGGCTGGGGACCAGAGAGAGAGGAGGATTGGCAAACCAGAGGATAAGAAGAGCTGGGGGTTACTATTGAATGCGGAATCAGCAAAGCTGGGGGTTACTACTGAGCAGGGGGATCAGCAGAGCTGGGGGTTACTACTGAGCAGGGGATCAGCAGAGCTGGGGGTTACTACTGAGCAGGGGATCAGCAGAGCTGGCGGTTACTACTGAGCAGGGTATCTGCTGACTGAGGGTACTAATAAGCTGGAGGTCTGCAGAATGAGGAATCCAAAGAGCTGGGGATCTGCTGAACAGGGGAACTAATGAGCTGGGGATCTGCTGAGTGAGGGTACTACTGAGCTGGGGTTCTACTGGGCCTCTTTTAAAACAAATAGAAAATCAACACACTCACAGGGCATTTGCCAAGCTTCATTAAAAGTTCAAAAAAAGCATCACAGAAGCAACAAAAATACATAAAAAAAAAGCACGTAGGCACTGTAATCTGTGTTAAAGGTGAAGCAAGTGTAAATGAACCCTGACGGTGAATCTCCCCAATTGAACACATGGAAAAAAAACCTGACATCAATTTCACCCTTTTCTATTCTATCTAAAACAAAAAAGTTTTGGTTTTAGATATATACGTAAAGCAAATAATGTATATTATGGTAGCATTATAAAGTGTGTCTTCCAGTATTCAACCACAAGAGATGCTTTCATAACTTGGTACAATATTTGGAGCTACGAGACACATTTTTAGCTCTACCACTTGATGTCTAAGTACATCTCTTTGACCTGACAAGAATCAGCAAGTCAAGACGATCACCCCTATAGAGAACAATGATTAGCATGGGTGCATACAGATGCTTGGCAAAACCATTTTACAGGAATGAGATGCACTGCAGATTCTTTCCTGCTTTTCCATGTCATAGGGGTTGATTTACTAAAAGCAAATAGGTTGTTTACTTTGCAAGGGAAGTTGCACTTTGCAATGGAACTGGCCCCGTGGCTTAGTAAATTTGGTGAAGTTTGCAAAGAGTACCAAGCACATGCAGAGTTTCATCTCATTCATTAAGCCCCAGGGCAAATTCCCTTGCAAAGCAAACAGCCTATTTGCCTTTATTAAATCAACCCTATGGTCTTCCCAGCTGTGGTACAAGAACTGCGTAACCACATAACCATTATAATTTGGGTGCTTCTGTGTTTTTCTTTTTATTACTAGTGTTAAATATAATCCTACTGAGGGACTGATGCTTTCCATAGTAGGTAGGAATCCTGCAGAGTATAGATATCAGTAGGGTGGGACTTATAACCTTAGGAAGGCCAACCAACATTTGTACATTCTAGATCCACTTGCAGAGAAAATTTTCCTAATGTACTATTATAAATCGGGAAGCAAAAATACTGTAGCTCCAAAGGTTATACCAGTCCCAACCAAAAGAAAAAAAAAAAAAAGAAACCCACAGACAAACAAGAAAAAAAAAGTAAGAAAAATAAGAATAAAAGGAGGGGAAGATGGGGAAAGAGAACACCAAAAACAAACAACCACCATGACTAGAGAATCAAATAGTGTTTTTCATCAATGGTCCACAGGCTCCCATCTCAAATAAATGCTCTGCTCATAGAAGATATAGAAAAGAAGAGCCTCATAGAGTAGTATGAAGGGATAGAATTTATTAAAATAGAAGTAATACACTCACATAATAAAAAAGTCAATAGACATATCACAAATGAAAAAAAAAACAGATTAAAAACCTCACTGTAGGTACGTCACATGTCATGTAGACTATATACACTGGTGTACCAGAAGAGGAAAGAACTCCTGGTGCCATATGTGTTCCAAAGTGCGGAGCTTCAAAACATGAATGAAAATGGGGAAATCACCCAGGCGCCATATGAGTTCCAATTCACAGAAAGCAGTGATGCCATCTTATGGTGAATTACTATTGGAACACCTTGTGTGTCCCAAGTTATGGAACCCAGGAGGCCAAGAGTAGCATCATCTTGTGCAAGGTGGTCAAACAGCCAATTTAATAAGACAACCTCCGTTGCAAATCATTTTCAAAATTCTACAAATTTGAAAAGGTAGACTAGAAATCTACATTAAAGTGTTACTAAACCCAGGACCCTGCATTCACTGTATCCGGTCTCCTACAGTACACAGAACATGGAAATGCAATTATTTTAGTAAATATAAACTGATAAATACCTTTTCTCATCAGCAGTATATAGCAGTCTTGTGATTCTTATTAGTGTTTGGCCGAGTTTTTATTTTGCTCTGACTGTCCTATGAGGCTGCATGACCCCTGAACCTCTGTATGGACAGTGCTGATTGGTCCTGTGCTGATCAAATGTTCTCTTCCAAAGAAAAAATAACTCTCTAGCAACACACACCAAACTGAGCATGTGCAGAGTGACTCCTAGAGCTAAGTGCTATGGCAGATGGATTGGGGACAGGAGAAGAAGGGAAGGATCGGAGAAAGATCAAACAGCCTTTTTACACATGATGAGGATTAACCCCTTGGGTTCCACTGTGAGTATAACAAGCATGCTTTACTGCATATACAGACTGATTGTACTGTTGTGGGTTTAGTAACACTTTAAGCTCTATTTGGTGAAATGCATGAGGACCAGTTCTAGGGTGGGCGCTGCTAGTGTGTGGATTGTGGCTGCTTTATGGAATAAGCTTGGACTATCGCAAGGGTAGTACATAATGTTCAATATATGTAATGTTTGAGAGGACTGTTAGAAATGGCAGACCTAATAGAGGAAATTAGGGTCTGAGGGAAAGCGTGGATATGATACATTTTTGGTTGGGGATATGCTGCAGAAAACAATATGAAACTGGGAATATGTTACATGAGACAGGTACAGAGTAATGGTATAACCCTAATCAATGTTTCCACTACAGACTGCTGAGGTCCAAAGGCTGCACATCATATACACTATATTGCCAAAAGTATTGGGACACCCCTTTAAATCATTGGATTCAGGTGTTCTAATCACCTCCATGGCCACCAGTGTATATAAAATCATCACCTAGGCATGCAGACTGCTTCTACATTTGTGAAAGAATGGGTTGCTGTCAAGGGGCTCAGTGAATTCAAGCGTGGTCCCGTGATAGGTTGTCACCTGTGCAATAAGTCCATCCATGACATTTCCTTGCTACTAAATATGCCACGGTCAACTGTTAGTGGTATTATAACAAAGTGGAAGCAACTGGGAACAACAGCAATGTAGCCACGTAGGCCACATAAAATGACAGAGCGGGGTCAGCGCATGCTGAAGTGCACACAGTGCACAGAAGTCGCCAACTGTCTGCAGAACCAAAAGGTAAAGACCTCCAAACTTTGTGTGGCCTTCAGATTAGCACAACAACAGTGCGTAGAGAGCTTCATGGAATGGTTATTCCATGCATCCAAGCCTTACATCACCAAGTGCAATGCAAAGTGTCAGATGCAGTGGTGTAAAGCTTGCAGCCACTGGACTCTAGAGCAGCAGAGACGTGTTCTCTGGAGTGACGAATCACACTTCTGTGTCTGGCAATCCTATGGATGTATCTGTGTATGGCGATTGCCAGGAGAACGGAACTTGCCTGACTGCATTGTGCCAAGTGTAAAGTTCGGTGGAGAGGGGATTATGGTGTGAGGCTGTTTTTCAGGGGTTGGACTTGGCCCCTTAGTTCCAGTGAAGGGAACTCTTAAGACGTCAGCATACCAAGACATTTTGGGCAATTTCATGCTCCCAACTTTGTGGGAAAAGTTTGGTGATGGCCCCTTCCTGTTCCAACATGTCTGCACACCAGTGCACAAAGCAAGGTCCATAAAGACATGAATGATTGAGTTTGGGGTGGAGGAACTTGACTGGCCTGCACAGAGTCCTGACCTCAACCCAACAGAACACCTTTGCGATGAATTAGAGTGGAAACTGCGAGCCAGATCTTCTCGTCCGACATCAGTCCCTGATCTCACAGATGCACTTCTAGAAGAATGGTCAAACCTTCCCATAGACACCCTCCTAAACCTTGTGGACGGCCTTCCCAGAAGAGTTGAAGCTGTTATAGCCATAAAGGGCGGGGCCAACTCAGTATTGAACCCTACGGACTAAGACTGGGAAGCCATTAAAGGTCATGTGCATATAAAGGCAGGCGTCCCAATACTTTTGGCAATATAGTGTATCAAAGGGCTGCACGTGGCCATTGGTCCGCAGGTTGGGCACCAGGGGACTATAGTGATGACAATGGTGTGCAAAGGTCTCTCATACATGCAATGTGTTGGGTTCGTAGATGGTTCCCCAGCATTCAGATGGCACTGGGATGGCTTGGTTTTGGAGCAGAGGCGAATAGGTTATGTCAGCTATACCAAGTCACTGTGTTGCAGTCAGATAGACTACAATGTCTATCTGCAGCCTCTACCTTTTCCAAAAAGGCACAGAGATTAAAAAAAACATCTATTCCTCAACCCTTAGTAATCTCCCGAGAATGTTTTTACATTTTCCCAACACAACTATCTCAAAAAGCAATATTGGATAAGATCCTTCCACATAAGTTTTAATGTAATTACACCCTAAAGCCTTTGTGATCCCGTTGTGTTGTCATTCTAATCTTCGGAGAGAGCGCGAACACTAATCAGGATTGCAAGTCAATGAAAGAAAATCTGTAAACACTCATGAAATAATCATAGTAATGAAACATCTTGCCAGCAAATGACATGCTGAGATAAACCATTACACAGGAAATTAGTGCACTTCACCAAAAGACGCTTCTTTGTTCCGTCTCTCTGTTGCATAAACACGGCCTGAATGCTTCACCACTGGAATAATTATGGAAGTGAATGAATACAATTACAGCCTTACTGGTTTTAAAGAAGATTTATAGGTGGAGGTACAGTATGTAAAAGGATTAACGTTTTAAGTTTGTTTTGTTCAGACATAGCGAAATGTATTAAATTATAGCTCAGCAGGATGGGCTCAGAAATACCTATCATGCAGCAATGACAACGCTAGCATTAAAGTTCAAGGCTTTTTTGTTAAAAACTGGTATTACCTATAATTGCAATACAAGCCACTTTGTAATTTGATGTTCCTAAAATTACATATTCCTTTTAATCCACAGCCATAGCTGATTTGTTATAGCTGCTGAAGTAAAATTCTATTTCTTTTTTCTAAGACTATGGTCTGGATTTTACAAAGTTCTCATAACTCAAAGACATTGCACTAGGCATTGCTTGCGAGGTTCTATGGGAAGCATCTTTGCCTGAGCACTGGAGTTTCAGATCTCTTCTGTTCAAAGTTTTCATAGCCCTGCTGATGTCATTGACTTACTTTCTCTTTTATGGCATTGTGTTCAGGGTTGGAGGTCATAAGACCCATGGTAGACACCAAAGGGCCCCTGTGCTAGAATACTTTTTGGGTCCCTCATTCAACTTCTTAAAGAGGAGCTAAACTGTACCTGATCACCACCATAACTGATTTGTTATAGCTGCTGAAGTAAAATTCTGTTTCTTTTTTCTCAGACTATGGTCTGGATTTCACAAAGTTCTCATACCTCAAAAACATCGCACTAGGCATTGCTTGCGAGGTTCTATGGGAATCATCTTTGTCTGAGCACTGGAGTTTCAGATCTCTTCTGTTCAAAGTTTTCATAGCCCTGCTGATGTCATTGACTTACTTTTTCTCTTTTATGGCATTGTGTTCAGGGTTGGAGGTCATAAGACCCATGGTAGACACCAAAGGGCCCCTGTGCTAGAATACTTTTTGGGTCCCTCATTCAACTTCTTAAAGAGGAGCTAAACTGTACCTGATCACCACCGTTACTGATTTGTTATAGCTGCTGAAGTAAAATTCTGTTTCTTTTTTCTCAGACTATGGTCTGGATTTCACAAAGTTCTCATACCTCAAAAACATCGCACTAGGCATTGCTTGCGAGGTTCTATGGGAATCATCTTTGTCTGAGCACTGGAGTTTCAGATCTCTTCTGTTCAAAGTTCTCATAGCCCTGCTGATGTCATTGACCTCCTTTCTCTTTTATGGCATTATTCTCAGGGTTGAAGGTCAAAAGAGCTGGAGTAAACACCAAAGGGCCCCTAGAATACTTTTTGGGTCCCTCATTCAACTTCTTAAAGAGGAACTAAACTGTACCTGAGCACCGCAAACTGAAAACTGTTTAATTAATTTTTAAAGAATATGTTACCCCAACATTTCATATTCCTGATGTGCCTTATGTACCATGTACTTGTATTAAAAAAAAGTATACTCGTCTCTCTGTATTGCTTCATTTATGTGAAATACCTGGTGTTCCTGCCAATCCCTCTGCTTTTCTAAAAAAAAAAAAAAAAAAAAAAAACTGACCACACTAGGCATGAGAGCACAGCGTGGTCAGTTCTCTGGCATTAGACTTGCCCCCTTCCCTGCACAGCCATTTACTGGGAAGCTCAGTGTGCTGCTATTTCTCCTACCTCTCCTCCGTATGTGGCTGTGAAGAGATGGAATGTGATCACTCATTAAAAAAAAAGGGGAAAATGATAATATTAATTTTTTTATATTTATACGTGGATGTTTTGCCTTTTGTTTTTATTTTAAACTGAATAGGTCGTTTTTCAAGGTGAGGGTTCACATATACTTTAAGGTTTCTTCCATTCCTTTCTGGAGAAAAGCAGTTTAAAAAATGCAGTAAAAGCTGTGTTTTTCACAAGCATTTATGCGCATTTGTGTGTTTGGTGTAAATGCATTCTATTGGCCAGAATATACATTTATTCTAGCCATTGGAATACATTAACGCACAAATGTGCATTTGTTTCTGCCCTAATGTTCCTCTCTGACAGGGTTTTTTATACCTGTAATCGCTTGTGAAAGCCTATGTGTACATAGACACATAAGACCATAGGCGAGCATGGAGGGGAGTTTAGCGGCAGAAGAAAAAAAAAAACAAAATCTGTAAAACATTTTTGCGTTTTTGAGCTGCAGTGTGCATCAGGCCTAATATTCAATGCAAACTCCCACATCCATCCATGTCCCCATGCTTTATTTTGTTTAGAAATTACTTTGATCCCCCCCCCCCCTAGCATTTCTATCCATGGTCATTCTGAGTAAGCGCAGATGAATCATGTACCATTTACTTCCTGGAATCCGTCTGCCCTTAGCTCAGGCATGTAGACAGGAAGGTGTGCTTAGCTGAGAAAGCCCCTCCTCTGGTCCTCCAGCTGAAGGAAAGAAAAATGCCCATGAAGACTCTTGGGATGTATGACATATTGGCCTAGACCAGAAACCAGGAAGCAGCTGAAGAAATGTATTTAAAAATTGTTAAAGCAAGTACATATAATATACCATACTATCTCTTTACCAAGGCTAACAGCATAAGGATTAAAATAGATAAAGCATTTTGTTTGTATTTTTGGATAAAGCGAACAGGGATTATAACATCTGTTAGGTCTTTATTGTCTGTAGCACTATTGGGTAGATAGATAGATAGATAGATAGATAGATAGATAGATAGATAGATAGATAGATAGATAGATAGATAGATAGATAGATAGATAGATAGATAGATAGATATAGATAGATAGATAGATAGATAGATAGATAGATAGATAGGATAGATGGATAGATGGATAGATGGATAGATGGATAGATAGATAGATAGATAGATAGATAGATAGATAGATAGATAGATAGATAGATAGATAGATAGATAGATAGATAGATAGATAGATAGATAGATAGATAGATAGATAGATAGATAGATAGATAAATAAATAAAAATTGCCCTGGTCATTAAGGGGGTAAAATCTTCTGGGGCTTAAGTGGTTTCCTCAATTATACACTATGGGCAAAGACAGACAGACAGACAGACAGACAGACAGACAGACAGACAGACAGACAGACAGACAGACAGACAGACAGACAGACAGATAGATAGATAGATAGATAGATAGATAGATAGATAGATAGATAGATAGATAGATAGATAGATAGAATGATTGATTGGAATAGAGAGATAGATAGATAGATAGATAGATAGATAGATAGATAGATACGGGATAGATAGATAGATAGATAGATAGATAGATAGATAGATAGATTGGGATAGATAGATAGATAGATAGATAGATAGATAGATAGATAGATAGATAGATAGATTGGGATAGATAGATAGATAGATAGATAGATAGATAGATTGGGATAGATAGATAGATAGATAGATAGATAGATAGATAGATAGATAGATAGATATTACTATAAATATAAAAAAAAAATCAAATATAATTTTCTTTCCACTATTGCAAATGTATTTAATTTGTAGAAAGAATCTTCTCAGTCCATAACCCCAAGTTCCTGCAGCTGGGTCAGTACCATAGCCTGCTGCAAGTATCATGCCGCCCTAGTTATGATGAAGAATATGTACACTTAATGGGATGCCAGGGTTGCAGCCCTTCTTGTTA